ACCAAAAAACATTTTGACCATTTTATCTTGTTGCTAAAACAGTTGATACATCGGTTACTTGAAGGCACGAATATTTCATGTACAAAATAACAAACTAACAATAATTGGTATTTTTCTAAACTAGAAAAGATACTTTATAATTGACGAAAGTTTTAAGGAAATTAAGCGAGTTTAACATGTATGAGAAACACAGCATTGAATTTTACCTTCGAGTGGGTTTAATTTATTTAATTTGTGAAAACCAAAGCCGAAAAGTCAAAAGCAAAATCCGAAAAGTAAAATACAAAAACCGAAAAGTCAAAAACAAAAACCATCGGTGACCCTCCTGGGCTTCCATAGCAACCAGTGCAGGTCACACAAGATAGGAGTGATATGGCAAAAGCTAGGCATCTTATAGATAATCTAGCAGAAACATTTAATAGACGTTGTAAATTATTCAACTGGCTGTCCGGTAAACAATAAAGCAAGCTGTTACAATAGTCAACACTATTGTGCACTGGTGTTTGAGTCACTTCAGCTTAGATCAATAAACTCTTTGCACAAAGTACTAAAGGATAGACACATAAAACAAACAACAGCAAGAGCGCGCGCTCGTTGACGACGACCGCTTATCTGTCTGTCCTCCTATTGATGATAATAAATAGCCAATCAGCTCGCGAGAAATTTGTAAATGATTGTAAAAACATCAGTGTTGTGATGCTAAAGTCAAACAGCATTGTGAGGGTTTGTGATCCCAGATTGTACCAGGTATTTTAAACGAAGGGCAATCTGACTCTGAGCAATTCCTTTTTACTGGGTTATTTTTAGATTTATTTCAATTTTAATTCGTTTACGGCCAACACGCTTTTTTTCCTGATCAGAATACAATGAGATCTTTTTTTCAAGTAACTTATTTGTTTTTCAGGATCAGATGATCATGCGTTGTAAGATCGACATCACCTGGAGCAACATAGATATCCCGTTTGGTTCCGTCGACCTTGTTGAACTCGTCCTCTCCTAAGCTGACCGCAACTACATAGTCAGTCTTATCCTCAAACTGTTTACTGTTGTAATAAGATGGTCCATCATCATAGTTATTCCTTCTTATTTGTTCCTTGCTGTGATCAATGGGATTCTTGGACGTGAAATAGGTACCTTAAATGATAATTATAGCAAAAACGTCAAGGCAAGGCAAGGCAAGGCAAGATGAAGAGGAGATGAAAATTTGCTGGAAAGATTAAAAAAACATCATTTTCTTATTTTTGACTTATTAAATGGATAAACTATAAATCATGGTATGACTACCTTCTCCAAACGCAGCGTCATCGTTTGCTTTGGTAGAGGCTTTGATCACTTGTTCTTCGTTGATAGCTTCAGCACCTTTTTCGTTGGTGTAATGGAAAAGAACTTTTTTCTAAATAAGTCGAAGACAATAGCAAAAACATTAACTCTCTTTGTTTCGACTCCTGGGCAAAATTCATTGTATAATGTTCATTCATAATTTATTGGTATTGGACAGAATAAACTCAAATCCGTTTCTTTTATTGGTGCAGATTTATTGACTTGGTCGAGGTTGCATGTTGAACGGAAAATAACTCTAGACATTGGTAGCTTCATACTTCATTACAATTTCAGTGCAAACACTCTAATCAGGATTCCTTTTCCAAGTTGATTCAATCATGATCGAGCAACGAAGTCAATATCTGCATAGTTATATATCTCACCATAGTCATGTAGTAGAGGCGGAATAGTCCCTTCTTTCAACAGACAATTTGAATCAACAACTCCTGTGAAAAAATTACTAGGCCGAGATCATAAGTACTGAGGTAATCGTAATCGTATGGGGCCGAGCAAAATTAAGAAAAAAACTTCCTCCTAAGGATTAATTTCACTTTTGTTTTCAAAGTTTTGAAATTGCACGATTTGCAAAGCGACAAGGGCAATTTCAAAACTTTGAAAACACAAGTGAAATTAATCCTTAATTTTATGACTGAGGGACCATACGATTACCCGTTTATCATATATAGGGCAAAATTCAACGAAAAATCCATTGATCCTGAACTATCCGAATCAAATGTAGTTTTGGCTCAAACGAATTTTATTCAGAATTCAAACAGAAAAGAACGTTTTCACATAACGGGTTATCTTATGCTAATGAGTTCGATGAGTTATATATAATATGCTAATGATCTGACACGCTACGCTGACTTTCCTAATAACAGATGCGATTCAGATAGCGATACAGTTTTAAAATGATGGATCTTAAATGTTCTCAAAAAGTCTAACGCGCCTCTCTGCCAAGAAGGCAACCAGTTCAATGCAAACAGGCATAGACCATCTGGGGTGTATCCAAATTGTAAATGATTGTATGGGATCCCTGTGCTAATTAATGATCCATTAGTGACTATTTAAAACCCTCGAATCATATTTCAAATTACAAAACAACCTACTGAATATCGTCGACCAAATTAACAGCTCAAATCATAACTTAATCGAACGCCTCTCGGCAGTAGTACGGGACAATTATGTGAGTATACCTGATTCCTTTATTAATTAATCTTAGAAACATTAGAATATTTGCGTCTTTGTTCGAATAGTCGCACCATGATTTAAGTACATTTGATTGTTACATAAGTACATCATTGTTTTACGCTAAATAGAATAGCACATTGGAATTGGATTTGATTATTGTGAAATCATGTTTATTATTTAGTTTTCGATAGTAACTCGTAATTGTAACTAGTTGTGTTCCAGTTTACGCCAAGTATAAGCAATAAATCCTCGTCGTGTAAAAATATATCGATTGTTTGTACTAGCAGGAGTAATCTAACCCCGTATATGGAACCCCTCGAACTCAGCGGCCCGCCGCTACACAAATACTCCCTTGTAAGACTTCATGTCCTTAAATACGTGTTCAATTTTGATTCTTCTCCTTGCTAGGTATCTGTTGAATTTTTAAATGTTTAATTAAAACACCCTCCAGTACCCTCAAGAAACACCAAATGAAGTACGCAGCCAAATCAACTCCTGCGCAAAGGAAGCTAGCATCCAAACTACAAACCGAGTTTGTAATAAGCGACTCTTCTGACAGCGATGGGGGCCAAGTCCAAGCAAAAAGACGAAAAAGCGCCAAAGAATCGGCAGCAGAGGCCCAAGAAGCGAATACAAAAATGTGCCAATAGGCAATGGAAACCCTGGACAGGGTCAATAATTTGTTGACCAATGTCGAGCAAAAAGTTTCAAAAAAAAAAAAACTAGAAGAAGCTGAGTAAAAAAGGAGATTAAAGTTATCGTTAATAGCGCAGCGCACTGATTCTAAAAACAGCTTAAAGATTCGGACAAACATTGCATTCTGTTTAACCGCTACGAGGATTATACGAACCGATTTTATTATTTTTACTTAAAGTTACGATAATAACCCATGTAAACTAAGATCAACTGCGATCGGCTGTGAAAATTATCTGCTGAAAGTAAACTTGTAAGTTTGTTTGTCCGAATTTCGCCTTTGTCTTTGTTTTTATGACTGCGTTGCGCTATTCATCTGTGTTCTGTGTTTATATTTTAGTCAGCGAAGCGTGCAGCATATTCGCGCCCGTCAAATCATTAACATATTGTATATAACTCATCGAACTCAGTAGCATAAGATAACCCGTTATGTGAAAGCGTTCTAAAAGATCGAGCCAAAAACCATAAAACATGCATAAAAATAGATTCCTACCAACAAAGTTCTTAATCTGAATCAGATTCCAAAGGAAGAAGCCTATTGAAGTGGCGTTTTGACTGATTAAGTCCAGACTAAGATGATTGTGCTGACTTCTTTGATTCCCGATGCCGTTCAAAAACACAGTAAAGTTGTACACATTTCAGATTACTTGAGTATTCTTTCCGAGACCCATTTACGGAAAACATTTATCCAGACACTTGTACACTTTCTAGTGTTCTCATTTTCGCTTGCCTAAATATATATATTATTTTCATGGTTTCTTCGCCTTCAAAATTATGCTAAACATGAAGCCATTTTGTTTGCAAAAAAAAGTTTACGGTTTGCAAGTGTTCCTAGGCAACTGAACTACCAATCATACTCTAGTAATTCGGCCCTGCGAATTACGGAAAAAAGCCCTCCTTCGTTAGCCAATCAGCATCAAGTAATTTTGCCCTGTATGTGATAAAGCTARTTATTCTGCTCTCTCCTGATTGGCTACACATTTTCACTGATTAAAACGACTTATTTTATTTGAAAAATTGACATGCCGATTTTGGTTGACTTGGACGAAGGAATTGTACTTGGTGTCTTTTGTCATGACTACCAAGTTCAGAGTATGAAGATTTTCTTGGACTAGTGATTCAATAGTGTCAAAAATTGTTGGCATCAGAATGTGATTTCCAAGGCTGTGGTATATGACCAGTTTGCAAAGAAAGATTGAATATGTAAGCAAGTGAAAAGGCAAGAACATTAGCTCCGACAGTGTGGAAGAGTGAATGTCAAGATGATTGTTTAATACGCAATGATGACATTTCTTTTCGTACAAACTCAACTGTACTGTTCGTGAATGAAAATGTTGTAACTTCAGCATCTTTAGGATCACAATTTACAGATGGAGTGAGTCTGTTGTTTGATAGACCTATGATTCTTTTTTCAATTTTCAAGATTCAAGATTAAATTTTCGTAAAGTAGACCAGAGTCTGGCTGATGAGTCGTTGGCATTTTGGCATAATGAAATTTGGTTACAGATGAACTTATTTAATCACCCTATGTATGTCATTTTAAAAGGCCTCAGTTTTTCTCGAAAATGAATTCCTAACTGTTGAAATTGCTAATTTCTAAGATATATGTGGTGTATCTTTCCACTAGGTTAGTTAAATTTTCTTTAGTTTTAAGTAAAAGCTTTTGTTAATTTCTTCGAGCAAAATGCCTAGCCTGGAAATAGGAAATATTGAGCTACGAGCAAAATGTTTGCTGATTGTCTAATTCGATCGCGCTGAGAGAAGCGAACTGAAATTGAAACTGGTCACCTTGTTTTGCTTCGCTGTTTTCTTTTAATTTCTTGGAACGATTCCTAGAATATATCTTGAGTAATTTGACAAGGACGATTTTAAAGTAAATGAACTATTAAGCGCCTTTTGTTTGAAAATTCACTTCTCAGCGTTTAATCAAAAGCACGAATCGTGCGAATGTTTAAGCTTATAATCCTGAATTTTAGCGGCTACGTCACTGTATTTTTTTCCGTCGGATAAAATGGTGCAAATGTTTACTGTATCTTAGAATCAGAGTGAACAATGTGGTGCATCTTTTGTTCATCATGCTTTATATGGTGTTGTTTGTTCCCAATACACCTTTATTTCTAAGAAAAAAGCTTCAAATTTTGCCTGAGATCTCAAGATTTTCCGAGAATTAGAAGGAACATTCTCTATTTCTAAGAAAAAAGCTTCAAATGTTGGCTGAGATCTCAAGATTTTCTGAGAATTAGAAGGAACATTCTCTATTTCTAAGAAAAAAGCTTCAAATTTTGCCCGAGATCTCAAGATTTTCTGAGAATTAGAAGGAACATTCTCTATTTCTAAGAAAAAAGCTTCAAATGTTGCCTGAGATCTCAAGATTTTCTGAGAA